GTAGATGCTTCCAGAAAGTTCTGTTAAGGCTTGGTGTGTGGGTGCCCTGAACGCAGGTCTACAGAACCGTGGGGGCAGCTTGCAGGTGGGAGGGGAGGGGGGCAGCACCGTCAGGGTGGGTCCTAGGGCAGTGTTTTTCAACCGGTGTGCCTCGAGCATTTTTAAATCATGCAGTGCCTGACTATCCAGTTTGGGGAACAACCTCTTTTCCCTTCGCTTATCCCCCCCCCCCCCAAAAAAAAAGACAACAGCCAACACAGCAATAGCTGTCCAGTGTGAATGAATCAAAATACTTTTTTTTTTTTTTTCAGATTGGCAAAAAATAGTTTTTGGTGTGCCGCAGAATTTTAGGAATTAGTCCACATGTGCCATGAGATGAAAGGGGTTGGAAATCGCTGCTTTCGGGTCAAGTGCAAGGGTCCGCCAGTGTGTGTTCCAAACACTAGGAGGGAGGGGTGGGGAGTAAATATAACAGGTCCATATGTGAGTGCATATCTATATATACCTTTAGCAATTTTAAAAAATTTTATTATTATTTTAAACATATTTTTATTGGTTTCAGAGAGGAAGGGAGAGGGAGAGAGGGTTAGAAACATCAATGATGAGAGAGAATCATGGATCGGCTGCCTCCTGCACACCTCCCACTGGGGATCGAGCCTGCAACCCGGGCATGTGTCCTTGACTGGAATCGAACCTGGGACCCTTCAGTCTGCAGGCCGATGCTCTATCCACTGAGCCAAACCGGCTAGGGCAGCTATGGCTTTTTTAAATATAGATGACTGCTATGTTGTTCCCCCCCAATGCATATGTTGAAATCCCGACTCCCAGTGTGATGGTATTAGGAGGTGGGCCTTTGGGGGGTGCACCGGTCACGAGGGTGGAGCTCTCATGAGTGGGGTCAGCGCTCCCCAGCCCCTTCTGCCGTGTTGAGGACACAGAGCACAGGACAGGGCAGGGAACAACAAGGATGTGGGGCAGGGCAGGTGGAAGGTCACAGCACAGCCACGTCATCTCTCATCTCTGGCTTCTGTGCTTGGTGGTTAGGTTACCCCTGCCCCACCTCGAGCTTCCTGAAGGCGTAGACCTCATCGGTTTTGTTCCACCCGGGGTCTCCTGTGCCTGGAACAGTGCCTGGCTCAGAGTGGGTCCTCAGTCATTCGGAGAATGGATGGATGGATGGATGGATGGGCGAGTGAACTTTGAGACCCCAGAGTGGGACTCAGAAAAACACGTCCTTTCCTCCCTCCATCTTTCTTCCCTGGACCCTGTAGGTTTTCGGGTGAGACTCAGGCTTCCCCAGGGAGGGAGGACTCACGGCAAATGTCCACACTGGCACCCGTGACCGGAAGAGCAGAGCTATGGGGGCCCAGCGAGGGTTTGGGGAAAGACTTCTTTTGCACCTACCCCATCTTTTCTTCAAAAAACATTCTCCATGCCTTCTCAGTGCCAGGAGCCCCCGGAGTCCTGGGGGCCACCCCCGAGGGCCCAGTGCATCTGCCACACCGTGGAGTCTCTAGGCAGCACCCACCCCTGGCTGGGCCATCGGCCCTTTTAAGACAAAAGAATGATGGGCAGCTCACTACTTGCTGGTAGAGCCCAACTCGGACATCAAGGCTTTGATTTCCACGGGGTTGGGGTGGGAGGTGGCGGGGGGAGGCTCTGGGGAATATACTGTCTCTCACCTCCAGATGCCACACGTGGTCTCTGGGCCACGCGGCATCCAGGCTGTGTATCCCCCGGGAGGTGAACGCCAATCAGAGACCTGTGCTCAGATGAAGGGCTGGTATGGACATGGGCCTCCATCACCGTCTCAGGTCCGGCCCCCCACTCTCTCCCTTTGGCCACCTGTCTCATCCCGGGGCCCAGCAGACACCCCCCAGGAGGCGAGGCCCTGCAGGCCGGGGTTTACCCGCGATCTGTTTTGGAAGTCATTAATCTCCCAGCGTAGGAACCTCTCTGTGGCGAGAAGCACGCGCTGACACTTTTGTGTAAACACGCCGCTTAGCGTATTGACAAACTGGGGGCTGCGGCTTTGATCCCAGGCTGCGGTGGGGGCTCCGGGCGGCCCCGCCTGGCACCCGGGCGGCTCTAATCCCTCTGCACTCAGATCCACAGAGAGGATTCGGGGTCTCGATTGTCCTCCATCCACTTAAGCCCTGCTGGGGGTTTGTGTAGTCACCTTCTCCCGTCTCCGCGCCGGCCGGCCGGGGCCTCCCCGGTTCGCCTTCCTAGCCAGGCGTGCAGCACAACTCCAAAGGGCAAACCTGCATGAAAACCCTCCGGCGCTCACAGATGTAATCACTGCGGCAAATTGGAACCATTCGTGGCCGGGTCCTGATGGCGATTTAGGAAGACTGCCCCGCGCGGCCCCCTCGCTTTCTTTTTAAGTGGCTTAGTTAGGGTTAGTGAGAAAAGCAGGCAGCCCTGCCAAGGTCCACGGGGTGGGGGGTGGGGGGTTTACATGGTTCCTTTCGGCTTCGGGGACACGTGCAGTCTCCTTGAGTCTCTCCCAAAGTCACACGGAGCCAACTTCGGTGGCAGCCGGTAACCCTCCCACACGCCCCAGTGGCCTGGCCACCTCCACTGAGCTCCCGCCCGAGGTTTGGGGCCCTTTCAGGGAGACGTGTGCTCTGTGACTTGTGTCGCCTCTAGTTACCCTAAGAAAGCAAGGGGAGGGCAGGACTTTTTTTTTTTTTCCCTCCAGGAGCAGGAATCGAACCCGATCTGTTATGATTTCTCGCCAAGCACGCCAAACAGACTCGCGTGGAGGGAGCCACGGAGCCAGGACCCAGACCGGCCCCGGGAGCAGCGCGAGGGCGTGAGATCTGTTTCTGGTAAAATCGCCACTGAGGTTTTTGGAGAGTGAATCGGAGAGGAAGTTCAGTTCCACCGCGCGATGGGGCTGACCTTACAGGGAGCTTGCTTTCGTGTTTGGTTTGGTTTGGTGGTGGTTTCCCGGCACCATTTTTAGACGTTTCTGGACTTGGCCCTGCTCTCAGCAACCCGTCGGCGGGGTTCTGTTGGATTTCTCGGGGGCAGATGGGAACGTGGATTCGCAAAGATCCCAGCCACCAAGTGTTTCTGCGAAAATTATAGAAAACGTTGCCCGAGAGGGTCCCCCCACCCCTACCTTTTTCTTTTCTCCATCTCCAGTTTCGGTGATTATAGTTGGAGGGAAACATTCAGGCTGAAAGAAATTTGATATTTATTTTCTGTGAACTTTAATAAAGTGGTGGGTTTGGGACTTTTTTTTTAAGGCTCCTTTGGACAAGTCCATTTTTAATTTAATTTTTTTTTTTTAATAGCACCTTTTGGCATAAAGCAGCCGCGAGGTGACGGATGAAGCTGCTCAGAGGTTGTGCCGAGAGCCGTTCTCGGCCGGCTGGCCCGAGATTTTGGAGGGGTTTCTGGCTCGGGGGGCCCTCTCTCCCCGGGACCCCGTTTCACCCAGGCGGGCCTTTTAAAATGTGTCGTGCCCGAGCCCGCCTTGAAGTCCATGTTTGTTTGGGTTTGCGGAATCCCCTGCCTTTCTTTCTTCAACATTCTCAGATGTCCCCGCTTTAGGCCGAGTGATCAGCCCTAATCCACTCCAGCCCTGAGCAGGAACGGTCCCCTTCGCCCCTAAGCACATCACATCACCGCAGCCCCGGGGCCTCCGTGGGGAAAAGGAATCCCAGACGCTCCGAGATGTCTTGGGAGATAAGAGCGACCCTAATCCCGGGGTCACCCCGGCCCTGCAGGAGCCGCGGTTCCCTGATACATCACCGAGTCCTTATCAGCCGGGGACGGAGCAGCCACTGTCCGGCACCTTTTCCGCAGGGCCGAGTGGTGTTAAGAAAATACCCTCTCGCCTGGTGTTATGTTAGTGAAACCGAAGTCGACATGAATGGCTGGTGGGGAACAGAGGGGGCATTGTTCTCCCCGGGCCGGGTGCTCAGAACTGGCCAGGCCCTGGAATCCGACGAACAGGGAAGTGGATGCCATCACGTCCAAACAGGCTATCCGGTGTCCGGCGGGATCAACTGCGCGCAGAGGGCGGCCCGGCCGGGAGCCTGCCAGCCCCCGGGTCATGGGAAGTTTGGTTTCCAGAGGAGAGGCCCAAAGTGCCACGTGATTTGTGACCACGTGGCGACGGGCTGAGAGAGGAAGCCACCTGCTTCTGAGGGAGAGAGAGAAGGTGAGAACCCAATGCCGCCCCCACAACCCTATAAAGCAGCGATTCTCAACCTGTGGGTCGAGACCCCTTTGGCGGTCGAACGACCCTTTCACAGGGGTCGCCTAAGACCATCCTGCACATCAGATATTTACATGACGATTCATAACAGTAGCAACATTACAGTGATGAAGTAGCAACGAAAATAATGTTATGGTTGGGGGTCACCACAACATGAGGAACTGTATTTAAAGGGCCAGAAGGTTGAGAACCACTGCAAGAATTGTCCCATTTCATCTTCCCAGGCCTCCCATGTGCCCTTGATTGGAATCGAACCCGGGACCCTTCAGTCCGCAGGCCGACGCTCTGTCCTCTGAGCCACACCAGCGAGGGCTCTATGCCGTTGCTGACTGATGTCTGTCTCCCTCCGGAAACTGGGGCCCGTGACAGCCTTCCCTCCCATCCCTGGCGGCTAGCTGAGAGCCTGGCTTGCAGTAGGTGCCAAGCGATTACTTAGGAAATGAAAGGATTTGGAAGGAAAGAAATCCCTTCCCTCTCACCTAAGTTTATGTTTCGAGAGTTTATCCTCTCCTTAAGTCAACACATTACATTTAAAGACGTTTTTAATCACTCATTCTTTACCGAAGATTCCCTCTTCTCAGATGCCTAACAGGGGGGTGGACACAGCCCCTTCTCTGCTCTGTATCTGGCCGAGCATTGGGAATGAACCCCCTTCTCCTAGTTCAGTGGTTCTCAACCTTGGCTGCACATTAGAATCACCTGGGAATCTTTTGAAAATCCTGATTTCTGGGCCTCAGCCTCCGGAAATTCTGTTTCTTCACTGTCCTAGAGGGTCCGATGAAGACCTTTGGAGGTTAGTTCAGAGGCCGGCCAGCCATTTGCCAAGCCTGCGACCCTCTCCCAGGCTGCAGCTCCCAGTCTTGCTGGAAATTAGCGGTGCCACGTGACTGAGCTGTAGCCAATGGACCTTGAGCAGATACGCACGGCCTTCAGCCCGGCCCGGAAACGCCGCCCACACGCGTCCTCCACGCTTCCCCCCCCTGCAGCTCGATGGTGACCATGACGGGGGAGCCGCCTGTTCAATACAGCCACGTACCCCGTGGAAGAAGCCTGGGTCCCCGAGCCACCGCCTGGAGCAGAGCCGCGCCCTGACCCGGAGCACCTGCATCAGCCTTTCCTGGTGAGAAACCATTTTCTATGGCGTTTGGACTGTCACACATGTTGGGGGTTTCTTTGTGATAGCAGCTGAGAGGGCCCTGGGTCCTCTGCCATATGTATGAAAGGTGTCCGTCAAAATTCTCATTTTCTGCAGGATAGCAACTTTCATGAAAAAAGTCAAACAGCAAGGCCTTAGTTTATGTGGGAGGGGCGGGGGGAGGGGGGAACGTAGTGACTAGCTTTACTTGTGCCCTGAGTACTTGTTTATTCTGCCTCTTGGGTGACGCCATAGACTCTCTTTCTAGAAAGTGCTGTCTTACAGGCCAGCACAGGGACACCTGCTCCACCCAGCAACCTTGGGGAGAGGGGGTGGGTAGGTTTGTCAGAGTTCAAGGGCACTGCTGTTGTCTCCTGCCCTCCTCTGGGCTCCAGGAGCAATGGAGGTGGGTCCTTGGGTTAAGAGCAGACACTTCAGCCCTAGCTGGTATGGCTCAGTGGATAGAGTGTCGGCCTGCAGACCGAAGGGTCCTGGGTTCGATTCTAGTTAAAGGCACGTAACCTCGGTTGCAGGCACCTCCCCGGCCCGGGCCCTGGTCGGGGCTTGTGCAGGAGGCAGCCAATCCATGTGTTCCTCTCGCGTCCATGTTTCTGTCTTTCCTTCTCTCTTCTGCTCTCCCTAAAAATCAATGGAAAAATAGCCTCAGGTGAGGATTAAAAAAAAAAAAAGGAGCAGACACTTCCCTGGGCCCTCGGACCTGCCTCGCAGCTGCAAACTGTTGGAAACGCTCTCCTAAGCTCCCTTAGAGCCTAGGGAAACCAGCCACCACTGGGAAGTACCCCAGCCCAGCTGCCACCTCCCGAGGAAGGAGCAAGGAGGATTGGGAAGGTCCTGGTTTCTGGAAGCAGCAGATCAGGGTTTGACTCCGGGGTCATCTTCTCGTGGTTACTATTCCCCTTTTACGGATGATGGAGACTGACTCCTGAGCCCGAATCTTGGCCCTGAGCCTCACCCTCCTCCCCCAGGCAAAGCGCCCCCCCATTCCTCACCCCCGCCCCCCAGCAAGAGAGGAGCCCTTTGCTGATTTGATTGCTGGGCTCACAGAGGCTGTTTTAGGAGGGGCCCTGGGGTGGAACCCAGGAGGTTCTGGTCTGAGTTGATCACCCGCTCGCTCTCTCTTCCTCAGTCTCCTCATCTGTACAATGAGACTGTCGATGGTATTTACCTCCCCCGAGTGTTGCGAGGACTGAGTGGGGTGATGATGCACATATACACACTTTGCATAGTGAGAGCACCTGATAGATTTACGAAAATATCCCCGCCCCCCCCGCCAAATATAAAATAGGCACAGGACTTAAAAGATTCTAGTGACACAAAAGATTATGCACTGGAAAGTAACTCTGTCTCCCACTCCTGACACCCCAGTCTCACGGGGTGTCTCTAGAGCATCGGTTTTCAGTTGGGGTGCCGTGGCAGGCACACTGGGGTGCCGCAACCATGTTTACAACATGCAGTACCTGACTATTTACACAGGGGCACTGACCTCTTTTTCTTTAGATTGTCAAATAAAAAAAAAAATAAAAAAAAAAAAAAGGCAACAGCCAACACAACAATAGCCGTCTGGGGTGAATGGATCAAAATTATACCTATGTTTCTTTGTCAGATTGGCCCCCCAAAAATGTAATATATATTTTTGGCATGGCGGAGAACTCTAGTAGTTCATTCATGTGCGCTATGAGATGGAAAGGTTGAAAATCGCTGGTATAAACTGTGCTGATCAGTGTCTTGCGTACACGGCCAGAGATACTCCCCGTCTACACCAGCATGGAAACGATGTAGACAGAGGTAGGACCGACACATAAATATTTTGACTTACAGAAGTGGAAGTGCCAGATGGTTCGCCCTGAATGGCGGGTGCGTGTAAACACGATGGCTTACTGTACACACAGTTCCGCGTGGCGTTTATTTTCGCTTCTCACCTAGCCCTAGTGCGTGGAGACCCTTTCGTGTCAGTTCATACAGACACGTCCCATCCTGTCGAACAGCCTGAGGCAGACCTTCACGATACCTTGGTTTATCTGACGCGCTGCCTCTGGGCGGACCGTGCCCGGTACTGCGTGCGGTTTCCGAAGGAAGGGTTAGCCCTGCCCTTGGCATTCTCCACCCCCAGCCCAGGCCAGCCCCCAGCGTCCAGCACCTGGCATTTCCTTCTAGAGCAGTGGTTCTCCACCTTCTGGCCCTTTAAATACAGTTCCTCATGTTGTGGTGACCCCCAACCATAACATTATTTTCGTTGCTACTTCATCACTGTAATGTTGCTACTGTTATGAATCGTCATGTAAATATCTGATATGCAGGATGGTCTTAGGCGACCCCTGTGAAAGGGTCGTTCGACCGCCAAAGGGGTCGCGACCCACAGGTTGAGAACCGCTGTTCCAGTGGGTAACTCCTGGGGACTCACGTTTTCTCACTGCGACTGGGTTACCCCAACGTGGGGCTCCACGCCTCAGATCTCTTCATAACTCGGCTTGGAAGCGGAGGCCCCTTAATTTGGCCCACAGGACTCTTTAACGCCTTTAAACCCCGTTAAACCCGTGTAATGACTTTCCCCTTGCTGTGCTCCTGGCTGTGAAAGCCGAGAGTCGGGGCCCAGCCTCCCACCTGTTCCCGAGATTAGGCCGCGCTGGAGCGGCTGTGGGGCTGGAC